GTCACTGTCTGGTCAGGCAGATGAACATCAAAAAGGAAACAAAAATAGAAAAAATATTTCCTAGTTGGGAGAAACTCTCTGAATGAAAAAACAGGGTGAAAAGATAGAGAATTATGGGGAAACCTGTATTATATAGGGTGATTTGAGAAGATGACTTTGAGGCAAGACTTAGGGATGAGAAGGATCCAACCATTCTTTGGAAAAGTCAAAAGGAAGAGAATTGCAGGCAGAGGTAAAGGCAGCAAATGCAAAGGCCCTGAGACAGGAATGATGTTTGTGTGTCTGAGGGTGTGGCTAGAATGTGGGAGTGGGGTAGAGTGTTGGCATAGAATGAGGTTGAGGAGGGAGTTTGGATTTTATTTGGAGTGCAGTGGGAAACAAGTGTCCCATCCCTTTCAGACCTCTTCATCAATTTTTTTGCACCCTTAGACCTTTTGTCATTTTCCCTTTTAATTATAGTCGTGTATCATTGAGCTAAACTGTGAGCTCCCTGAGGGCAAGAATTCTGCAGATTGGGAGGGGCCACGCCTGCCTCACAAGGATGTTGCAGTGACCCTGGGAGACAATGAATGTGAGGATAGAAAGCACAGTACCTGGCACCTGCTGGACCCTTGATGTACTATAAAATAAAATTCCTCATTTCCTCTCTGCAGAACTGGGAAGCACGCCTCCTGCTGGAGAGGTCACGTGCTGTCAAGTGCCCAGATATTGCCACTCAGTTGGCCGGAACTAAGAAGGTGCAGCAGGAGCTGAGCAGAGTGGGCGTGCTGGAGGCGTTGCTCCCTGGCCAGCCTGAGGCTGTGGCCCGCCTCCGTGCCACTTTTGCTGGCCTCTACTCACTGGACATGGTGGGTAGGCAGCCCATTTCCTGTACCATAGGCCTCCTTGGTCGCAAGGACCCAGAGCCCAATGTGTTGGGGAGGCTGGAGCTGGTACTGGGCTGGACTTGGGTCAGTGATGCTCTGTGAGAACCCCTGCGGAGGAGGGCTGGAATCCACTGTAAACTCTCGGCAAAGGCAGACTTGGGAATGGTAGCCAGAGGGAGAGAATGAGGCAGAGAGCGAGAGTTAGGGAATATCTGTACCTGCTTTCCAGGCCTTCTGCTACAGACCCCTGAATTGTTGCCAGAGAAAGCTTGTTCTCTTGTACTTCCTGCTCCAGAGGTCTTTTGCAAGGCAGGGGTGCAGGGGGAGGATGGGGAGTTACATCCATATAGCTTATGGCTCTTCCCTCAATTGCACTTCTGATGCTGCTCTGCGCAACCTGCAGGATCTCAGCTCTTGCCTCTTTGGCCTAAAACTCCTGATAACTGCTTTTTTACTTCCTGCCAGGGTGAAGAAGGAGACCAGGCAATTGCTGAGGCCCTTGCTGCTCCTAGCCGGTTTGTGCTAAAGCCCCAGAGAGAAGGTGGAGGTAGGAGGATCCCCCTTTGCAGGGCTGCTCAGTAAAAAGGGACTAGCAGGCTATCACCAGTGCTGACCAGCACTTGCTATGGGCACAGTCCTAGGCTCTAAGAGATAAAAGAGAACTGACACAGGCCTTCACCTTGAACAGTGACCCAGGAGACTCTGTGATCCAGTGCTATGGAGCACAGGGAATCTGATTAGCCAGCATTTGAGAGTTTGGACAAGTTTAGTCTGCAGTGACTGTGGGTGGATTGTGGGGAAGTGGGATGAAGATACATCAGGACTTTGGATGTCTTCCTGCCTAGATTGAACTTCTTGAGAGCAAGGATCATTTCTGCCTCACAGACTGAGAGTAAATGGTTTTTGATCTTGGTCTGAAGGGATAGATAGGATTTTCCCAGAAGGAAAAGAGAAGAGCATACCATACAGAAGGAGCAACCTTAAGCAAAAGCACTGATCCGTGAAAATGTGGTATGTTTGCAGATTAATTAGTTACTAGTGAGCCTGGACTACAACATGGGAAATGAGAGAAAGCAAGGATTTGGGCTGGAAAAGATGGTTTGGGGCCTGATTATAAAGGATGTTGAAAATATTTAGGAAATTGGATTTTATCCTAAGGGTAGTGAGAAGTCATTAGAGAGTTTTAAGGCGGGAAGAGACACATGATTGTTTCAGGACCCATGTTTCAGCTATGGTGGAGCATGTCTTTAAATGAGGGGGAACATTAATAGCAGAAAGACCATAGAGGAGGCTGCTATAGTTGTCCAGGAGAGCAATTTGGAGGCCTGGGCTAGAGCTGTGACAGTGTAGAGTACAGACTGAATAAGCACGTCTGAGTGGGTAAGGTAATGGAGAGGAAGGAGTTAAATATGACTCAGGGATGCTTTTATCTGATTGGGAGTAGGAAGGTCTAAGATGGGCAGGTTCAGGCAGAAGTAATGAATTCTGTTTGGACATGTTAAGTTTGTTTTGGGGACCCATGATGTCTAGAGCAGGGAGCTTGAGTTAAAGATTTGGGGTTAATAAGTTACAGGATGTAGGTAGAGACTTGGAAGAGATCTTCCTGGAAAAAGTATGTACATGGAGGAGAGAACAAGGGTGGATGACCAATTCCTTGGGAATCCCAACATTCAAGAGGGGCAGGAGCCAGTCAGAGAGGCTGAGAAGTAATAGCCTAACAAAGGTAGGTGGAGAACCAGGGAAGGATGGTGTGGTGGAAGGAAGGTTCTCTTTTGTGGGTCAGGGCTCTTCTGTTAAGGTAACATTCCCTCCTCGGGAGTCAGGTCTACTCTGGCTTCTCTGAACTGGTGTCAGGAACAGAGACTGTTGACTTGCCCACATGGCCCCAGAAGTGGGAGCATGGGGTAGAGAAGGTGGGTACAGAGTCCAGGGTGACTGGCCAGTGGAATTGCAGGTAACAACCTTTACGGGGAGGAGATGGTGCAGGCCCTGGAGCGGCTCAAAGACAGTGAGGAGAGAGCCTCCTACATCCTCATGGAGAAGATTGAGCCTGAGCCTTTTGGAAACTGCCTACTACGGCCTGGAAGCCCTGCCCGAGTGTCCCAGTGCATCTCAGAGCTGGGCATCTTCGGGGTCTATGTCAGGTGAGCCAATCAGGAGGGGTCCCTACTTTCTGGAGGGCCAGTCAAGAAAGCCTGGAGGGAAGCACTGGACAGGGAGCAGATCTGCCAATCCCTAGCTACATTTCCTTATCTAGTAAATCAGCCAAGGACCCAAGATCTGCCCACCTCACAGGGCTATCAGACAAAGCCCAGATGTGAAGTGTTCTGCAACTACAAAGGAAATTTCAAGTAGTAGCAAGATGGATGAGAAAATCCCTGGACTAGAAGGAGACCCCAGGGAAGAAGAGTTTGGGTCCAGATCCCAGGCTACCAGGGGTTCTGGGAAAAGGCAGGATGGGCCAGCTAGAGGATACTCAATGGCTTTGACATTCTGAGTGGCCCCTGGGTTTGGATTTGAACACTAAAGAATCAGAAAGAGAGGAAGACTTGGAAATTTATAAGGAATGGTTCCTGGTCCCTCATACCACTTTCTTCAAAGTACTCAGGGCAAAGTAGGAATACCAGATGCTACTGTGCTCCCCACCAGATCCTGCCCTCTCTCTATAATCCCCTCTAGCCATTTGCAGCATCTCTGCCTGCCTCTCCCAATCCCTTCCCAACATCCCAAACCATTCTTACCATCCCAAACCCTCCTCACCACCATAGGCATCTTAAGAGAAGTAGAGAAGGAAATTTACAACTATAGAACATGAAATATGAGCTTAGCATCATGTTATACTAAGTGTTTTTCCTGCTTTATTTAATCCTGATAACCATCTTGCAAAGTGAGAAGCATTATCCCTATTTAAAAATGAAAGAAACATATTTAAAAAAGCTGAGTAACTTGCTCAAAAACACAGAACTAGTAATTTCCAAGATAGGAGGCAAACCCAAGTCTTATTCTAAAATCCTCACACTTTCTTGGGTGTAGTTAGTGACCCGTGTACTGGTCAGCTGGGACTAGGGAAGGTCCCGGGTTTGAGGGCTGAGTCTAGGTGACAGAGTTATGTGTCTCCTGTTCCCATTTCTATAGGCAAGGAGAGATACTTGTGATGAACAAGCACGTGGGACATCTGCTTCGAACCAAAGCCATCGAACATGCAGATGGTGGTGTGGCAGCAGGAGTGGCAGTCCTGGACAACCCATACCCTATGTGAGGGCGCAGCCAGGCCCGCCCAGACTTCGCTCAAGAGGCCTTCTATCCCTCATACTTGTCATTCCTCTCCTGAGAGGTGCTTTTCTTCCCCTACCTTGGGAGGGCTGGTCTATTCTAGAGACCCCCAGGGTCTTCAAGGAAGGGTGAATGCTGTGTACCTCCTATTTGAGGACCAGAAAAGCTGTGTTTCCCTTAGGTGAGATCTAGAAGCCCCTAAATCCTAAGTGTATGGGTACAGCTGAAAGGAAGCTGATCCGAGGTAAGAGTCCATAATACTGCCACCCTCCTGCTAGTCCCATGTCAGCCTTTTCAGCAGGTCTCTGTCTGACTTGGGATAGGACTTAGGGGTAGGAAGAGTGGGGTGGAAAGGCATAGCCCTTCTCCACCTCTGCCTTAAATAAAACTACATTTCTGATTCTGTGATTCCTTGGTTTGTGCCATTAGGGGAAGGAGAATCTTTCATCTGGGCCAGCCCACTGAAGGTGGATTGGAGCAGGGGAAGTGGCTTGGCTCTAATCAGCGTCTCCCTAGCTCCAGACCCAATGACTAGGACCCTGAAGAATCCTTGGTGTCTCACTAATGCTCTCAAGGGATCATAGGGAGGAGAGAGGTCCCCTAGCAGGAGCCAGAGGGAGCCAGAGGGAAGGCAGCTGTGATGGGACACCATAGTTGTGAACTGGCTTCAGTTGCTTTCTTGTTTAGCTCAGTAGCTTGTCAAAGGGCCTATGAGTGTAGCCCTGCCTAGCTTGTCCTAACCAAAAGTTTCAGAAGGAAGATATTAAGGTATTCCTGGGAAAACCACTCCCCTTACCACCCCCACACAAATCAGAGCAGCTAGCAAGTATAGAACCTGTAAGATACGTAAGAAAACAAGTCTTGAGGTCACAGACTTTATTCCGACAACCAAAGGGCTTGAGCACAGCTAAGGCAAGAAAAGAGTTTCATCTGAGAGTGTCTATCATGGGCAGGACTGTGTTCAGATGAAGTAAGAAAAGAAGACAAGTTCCTCTGGCCCAAAGAAGCAAATGATCTAAAAATCATCTAGAAACAGCCTGCCTTCACAATCCCTGGAGCAAATGGACAGGCAAGCACTGTCATCTGGCACAAAAGACCTGGAGCAGAAGAAGCAAGTGTTTAAAAAACAATAATTGTTCCAGGACTCACAGGCAGGCCTTTCTAAGGACAAGTGCATGCCCACGATAAGTGCTGGTGTTTCCTGAGAGAGTTGACATAGGATTACAGAGCTGCTTCCCTGCTGCTTGTCTAGGCTCTCACTCGTCCTCTGAACACTGAACTTGGGCTGGGAACATGACCTTCAGTTCCCTGTTCTGGGCTCCAAGGGCTCTTTGCCAGTACAACAACCTGAGGCTGACCTGGATCCTGTCCCATCTGTCTGGCAGACACAGGAAGTTACCTCCACCCAGGGGTAAAGCTGGTCCTCAGTCCTGGACACCTGGTTGAGGGAGGTGGTATGGGTCAGCCCTGACCCTCAGCACTCTTGGATGGGGGCAGGGAGAGTAGGCAAAACTTTGGAAAGCCAAGCAGGGAGGAATCCTGGGTAAAGGGCATCTTGTTCACTGGATGGTCCGGCAACGGTGGCTGAAGAGCTGGCTGATGACAGATGGGTCAGCCATAGTAGATGTGTCCCCCAGGTTGTGGTCATTCTGGGCAATCTTCCGAAGCACTCGCCTCATGATTTTCCCTGGGGGACCACAGGCTTCTGGTTACTGGTGAATGAATGCACTGACCAACTCCAGCCCTGCCAAAGGCTTTCATCCACTCACACCCACCACCACAGGGCCTTAGCCAATCCCATTCCCAAGCCTCGAGCCTCTGAACATACCTGAGCGGGTTTTAGGCAAGGCAGGTGCATTCTGGATGTAATCTGGTGTGGCAATGGGGCCGATCTTTTCTCTAACTGTAACCAACAAATCATTAAGCATTACTTCAGAACCTTTAGCAAGCTCCCCAAAACCAAAATAGAGATGGCTTTGTTCCCCACTTACTGCCTCTTCAAGGCCCGGTCCACAGAGTCATCCTCAGGCTCACTGCCTGTCTGTCTCTCTTTCTGAAACATTGCTTACTACCTCATTTATTTATTTTTTTATTGATTTTAGAGAGGGAGAGAGAGAAACAACAATTTGTTGTTCCACCTACTTATGCATTCATTTGTTGATTCTTGTATGCGCCTTGACCAGGGATTGAACCTGCAACCTTGACATATCGGGATGACGTTCTAACCAACTGAGCTACCCAGCCAGGGCCTATCTCATTTATCTTAATGCACCTTCATGGAACTCAGGCTCTAGAATCAACCCACTACAGTTGAAATCCCACTTTTCTAGCAGCATGGCCTTGGGCAAGTGATTTAATGTCTCTGAGCCTCAATTTCTTCATCTTTATAATAAGGGTAACAATAGGATTTATTTATGGGGAGATTATATGCATTTAAAGCACTTAGCCCAGTGGTGGCACAGAGAAAAAATTCTATACATGTCAGCCATTATTATCCTAGTGGAGAGACTAATGGAGACAGAATGGAAAGAGGGCAGTCAACCCCCTAGGATCTGTTTGTGGTTTGGGGAGCAGCTCGCTCCAGCTCCTCCCTAAGAACCTGCCGTGGAAACTGGGCTGGCAGGACAAACCCTGCAGTCCCTCCCTGTCCAGGGAGGCTTCTCACTCTGCTTCTTGAGCTCCTCGGTGAGAGTAGAACTGAAAGTATAGCCATCACACAGGGTGACAAAGCAGTAGAGGCATTCGCCCTTCACGGGATGAGGGTGGCTGACCACAGCTGCCTCTGCGACAGCCTGATGGTCCACAAGTGCTGACTCCACCTCTGCAGTGCTCAGCAGGTGACCTTGTAAGTGAAAGGAAGTGTCATGAGAAAGATCCCAGCCTCTACCCCAGCCCCTGCTCCATCTGTGCCCACAGGGCAGTCCTGGTCTGGTTAAATTAGAAAGGCCCTTCATTCATTCCTCATATGATATGCTTCAGTTGCCCCACCACCCCGTTCCCCTCCTCTAGGCACATTCCAGTGTTTGTCACTCTTCCTCCAAAACCTGGCCCAGAACTGGGTGCTTCACTCCAAACATGGTCTGGCCAAAGGACATCCTGGCTCTCTCAAAAGGCTTTAGCTGGGAGTGGCTGGGAGAGCAGTGCTAATGAGAAGGGAGAATGGTCCCTGGCCCTCACCAGATACATTTAGCATGTCATCGATCCTGCCAGTGATCCAGTAATAGCCATCCTTGTCCCGCCGGCAGCCTGGGAAGTGAAGAAATGCACAATGTAATAAATAACCCTATAGAAGGATACAGGATCCACATTATCAGACTTCCCAGCAAGTCTTCTTGCTTCTGTGCTTGCCCACTGTGGTGGCCAGGCTCCGAAATGGCCACACTGATCTCCACCTCCTGGTATTCATACCCCATTGTAGGCCTTTCTCATTGTACTAGAGTTAGTCTGTATGAGCAATATAATTTGGCAGAAGTGAGGGGATGTCATTTCTGAAATTAGAGTATAGAAGACACTGTGGCTTCTATCTTGCTTGCATTATCTTGGATCACTTGCTCTGGTGGAAACCAGCTGGCACGTCATGAGTAGCCCTATAGAGAGGCTGAAGTGGCAAGGAACTGAGGGTTCCTGCCAACAGCCACATGAGTAAGTTTGGAAGTGGGTCCTCCAGGTTCAGTCAATCCTTCAGATGACTGCAGCCCTGAACAACAGCTTGATTGCAACCCTCAAGAGACCTTGAATGAGAACCACCAGCTAAGCTACTCTGTTGCTGATCCCCTGATATTGTGTGAGATAATATATTTGTTCTTTTAAGCTGCCAAATTTGGAGGTAATTTGCTCCACAATAGATAACTAATACACCCACCAAAAGTTTATTCTCCATTAATTGGCAAAGTTATTTTCTTTTTAAAAAATATTTGTTTATTTTTTTAGAGAGAGGGGAAGGGAGGGAGAGCGAGAGGGAGAGAAACATCGATGTGAGAAACACTGATTGGTTGCCTCTTGCACGTGCCCCAGTAGAGGACCAAACCCATAACCCAGGCAGGTGCCCTGACCAGGAATCGAAATGGTGACCTTTCAGTTCACAGGCCAATGCTCAACCAACTGAGCCATGCTGGTGAGGCCAGGCAAAGTTATTTTCTAAACAGTAAGTCAGTCCTCATCACATCTCTGCTCAAAACCCCTAAAAGCCTCCCACTGTGCATTGGATAAAATCAAACTTCACTATGGCACACAAGGCCTTACACTATCTTCCTCTCCAACTTCATATAACACTCTTCCTTTGCTCATTACACTGGCCACACAGGCTTCCGTCTGTTCTCAGATATTTCAAGCATGTGTCTGCACAGAACACTTACTTCACATTTTCCCATGACTGGTTCCTTCTCACCTTTCAGTTCTGTGGTCAAATGTCACTTCAGAGAAGCCTTCTCTCATCATCCCATATATGGTCATGCCTTCAGACACTCTATCCCATTACTTTATTTAGAGCATTTTTTCTTCACAGCACTCACCGCTAAGACAAGCTTATTTACTTGTTTGCTGAATTTATTGTTCATATTCCTTTAATACAAAGTAAGCCCCATGAGAGCAGAGACCTTGCCTGCCTTATTCATGGTAATATCCCCCATGCTTAGATCAGTGCCTGGACGTAGTAGATGCTCATTACATATTTGTGGGTGAATGCAGTGGTGGATGGACACATGGGCAAACACAGACTCCAGGTATGGAGATACACATGGCATAATACCACCATATGTCCCATCTTTTTCAACAGAAGAGCAATGACAACAAAAATTCATATATCAAATCTCAGATGGCACCATGCTGAGACCCATTCTGCAATACTCATCATTCCTGCTCTTACAGTCTCTGTAGCTCTGCCTCAATATTAGACACTGATACATAGGACACACTTTCTCTCCCTGTGTTTCTTCACCCTTAGTCAACTCTTCCTGAAAATGGGAGAAGATACATGTTTTGATAGGAAGAAGGGGATTGCCACGGCTCACCATCTCCTGTCACGTAGTACCCAGGGAACTTCTTAAAGTAGGTGGTCTCAAAGCGTTCATGATTCCCATAGACTGTACGCATGATCCCCGGCCAGGGCTGCTTGAATACCTGGAGAGTGAGGAAGGCACAGTGGTCACATCTGTTACGCTGTCTTACTGAAAGATAATCAAAGCTTTGCCAAATATGAGGAGAAATGGCCTGAGTGCCATTCCTGAGAAGTAGTACAAAGTACAGGCTTTGGAGATAGACAATCCTGGCTTGGAATCCCGACTGTGCCACTTACTAACTGTGTGACCTCAGGTAAGTAATTTTACCTATCTGAGCTTCAAGATCCTCATCTGTAAATCACAAAAAATAATCTGAGGATTAAATTGATAGCAGGTAGAAGATGCCTAGCACAATGTTATGTTGATGATAAGCACTTAGTAAATTTTAGTCTCCTTTTGGGAAATCCCCTTTGGAAAGCAGGTGCAGTTTGATGCAAATGAAAACAATAAAAGTATGGGACCCACTTATGAGTAAATTATTTTCCCAATCAATAACATCCTGTGGCAGAGGGATGAGATGATGGCTAACAGGCAGAAGGCCTGGCTGGATTCAAATGTTGCCCTTGTTACTAATTTGTTCTTAGTAAAAATGAAGTTGGGTGGAGAATAGTAAAAGTGAAGTGGGGTGATGATATAAGTTCTAATACAACAAACATAACAACAGCTAACACAACAATGGTTAATCAACACTCTTAGGTTCTGTGCTAAACTTCACATGGATCATCTAATTTAATCAATCCAGCAACCATAGAAGACAAAGGTACTATTATAACCCTACTTTACAATTGAGGAAATTTAGGTTCATAAGGGTTAGGTAACTTATCTGAGGTCACAGAAGAGGCAGAGCCAAGATTTGAACCCAGGCAGGTTGACTCTGGAACCTATGTGTTTTCCCACTATGTTAGGAAGCTTCCTTTCACACTAGAATGTTTGTCAAAGGAAGAGTTGAGACTAAATCTTCCAGACCCAGAAAGGTACCATCAGGAATCCCTGAGCAGAGAGCCCTTAAGAGCCTCATGAGCCAAAATGCAGAGAGGCAGGCAAAGTATCCAAAACGACTCCCTGCAGTATCTCTGCAACGGATAAACACTCAACCATGGAACTTTAGTCACAGCAGCTACTGGGTTCTAAACTCCAAAGCAAAGTACAGTATCCCTTAGTGGACCCTTTCCCCCCAACTCCTCTAAGACCCCCAAGGGGCAGGGCCTCACCAGATAGCCTTCAGCTTCACCTTCCAACTCTTCTCCAGACTCATTCAGGATTGCAGGAGCTACACCAAAGAATGGGAAGGTCTAGAAGCAAAAAGGAGACAAAAACAGGAAGGAGAGAAATGAGGCAATTCTGACTTGCTCAACCTCTCCCAACGAGATGCAGAGCCCCAAATTCACCACACATCTCAGTCCAGTCCCCCACCCTCTACCTAGGCCAAATGCCCCAAGACTATCTCTGCCTAGCCCAGGACCAGCCAAGGGAGCCTCACTCACAGCAGAACCAGGCTTCATGGGTGTTGCACCAGGGAGGGGGGTCAGCATATGGCCACCCTGTGGAACACAGAGATCCGGGGTTTGAGTCAGTCTTCGCACACTCTCCCTGAGCCCCAAATTTCTTTACCCCTTACTCACTGTCTCTGTCTGCCAGAAGGTATCCACAATGGGGCAGCGCTTGGCACCTACTACCTGGTGGTACCACAGCCAGGCCTCAGGGTTGATGGGTTCACCTACTGTGCCTAACACCTGTAAGGATGCCCGGCTGTGCCTTGGGCAGGGGAGTGGGGAAAGAGGAATCAGGAAGACATACCCAGGCTCTTCTGCCTACTCACCCCCATTCCAGGCCAGGGAGTTAGAACAGTAGCATAGAAATAACTGCACAAAGGCCAGTTGTTCTAAGGGACACCCATGGGGTAGCAGCTGGGGAGGGGTCTCACTTGATGACAGGCTTATCTCCAAACTTCATGAGCAGGCGGATAGCCGTAGGTGCTGTGTAGAACTTGGTCACCTTGTACTTGTCCACAATGCTCCACATGCGGCTCACATCCGGGTATGTGGGGATACCCTCAAACTAACCCCAGTGAAGGCTGGTCATTTCTAGTCCTTCCCAATAGTCCCTCCATCCCCCTACCATATCCCCAGGCTCAGTAATTTGCTCTTTCTGACAAACCCATTACTTCATTCCCTTACCAGACAAGACAAAAGAACTTCCCTCTCAGGATTGACAATCACCTCAGAACTGTGCAAGAACTGCATAAGTCCTACTGCCTCTAGACACGTGGCCTTAGGAGGCAGTCATCCTGAATCACCTTGTCCATCCCCTAAGTAGGCCAGGTAGCCATGGGTCCCAGCTCCCTTCTCACCAAAACACTGGTGGCACCATTGGCCAGTGGCCCATAGGTGACATAGGAATGGCCAGTGATCCAGCCGATGTCTGCTGTGCACCAGAACACATCCTCTGGATGGAAGTCAAACACGTACTTGAAGCTTGTGGCCACATAGAGCATGTAGCCTCCAACTGTGTGTACCACACCCTGGGGGAAGAAGAAGGCCTCAGGATGGGGCTTGGGCTCACCCCCCCTGAACGGCAGCACTCCTGTCACACCACCCATCTCTCTTCCATCCCCTTTTCTCCGTGTTCCCGTATCACACCTCACACTCGTGTAAAGTCAGTCCATCATTCACATGCACACCCTAAGATGGTATTTCTGAGCCACCCGCATTACTCTTACACCTGAACACTGAGTACACTCACAGATGGTGTCTCTGTTGTGCATTTGTGTGCACGTACTCAATTACACATTGACAGAGTGAGAGTGGGGAAAAAAAGACCATCTTTTCTTATTCCATCAATATCCTATCCCTAGGAAAGAGAGACCAAAATTGTGTTTCTAAAAACCCATTGAGGTATATGCCAAGCATATGGAGAAAATAATTTAGGGACGGAGCAGGTGGAAGGCAGAGTGACATCTTTCAAGTCAATGGAACAGAGTTTTCTTAAGTATTTCTGACTCTCACTGTGCCCTGAGAGAGACTAGATGTTAAAGTGTGACATGTTGAAGAAACTGAACTCCAAAAGCTGTAGGCTAGGTGCCCAAGAGGGATCCCTGTGCCCAGCCTTGGCCTTGAGTTGACAGGGCAGCTCTCCTTCAACCAAGCCATGTAGGCTTGGGCAAAAAACATCAATATAAGCCACATGGACTGATACTTTTCTCATTGTCTGGGCAATATGAAAGCCCTCACCTAAATTATCTCACCCTGGGCTTCACAATCTAGCATCTTAATTTGATTTAGAAAAAGTAATGTGACATTTCTGAAATTCAGGGTTGTAGACTAAAATTGATGTCATTAAATGCTTCCTCAGAAACTCACTTCTCACCCTTACACAGTATACACACATGGGCCACACACACACATACTTGCCTTGGGTTTGCCTGTGGAGCCACTGGTGTACAGGATGAAGAGTGGGTCCTCAGCATCACACCACTCAGGCTCACACTCATCCCCTGTGTCCTGCATGAGTTCATGCCACCACAAGTCAACATCCTCATTCCAGGAGATCTGCAGGAGAAGAAACACAGGAATGGGCAGGAAAGAACTGTGAACAGCTCAAGATGGGAGCAGCAGATACCTGGCCCGTAGAGGGGCTGAGATGGGACTGGCGGGTGGGGGTTGTGGAAAGGAGGAAGGGCTCTGCAAGGGTGGAATAGAGCAGAGAGAACAGGAATGGGACAGCAGGCTTCCTGGGTGCTCCTGGCACCCTGCTCCAGAGTTCCCCCTCACCTGGCCCTCAGGCTGAGGGGGGCCCATTGGTTGGTCCCTTCAATCCTTCAATTATTAGTTTAAATGTCAGCTTGGAAAGGCTTTCCTTGAAGAGTATCTGGAAGATATCCACCCCTAGCATCACCCTTGCTATTATTCTTGATCACTGCACCATACTTCTTTCCCGCATAGCACCACCCATCTCTCTACATAACATATTTCTAGTTATTTTAGTTGTTTGCTTGATTACTGTCTCCCCAACTAGATAGTGACCTCTGTTAGTACAGTATTATATATCTCTTTTTTCCCCACCTATATCCCCAACACTTAGCAAAATGCCTGGCACTCAAAAGGTCCTCAATAAATTTTTGTTGGATGAATGAATATGCACACACAGGCCTGCATACACACATATGTACTTATGGAACTAGTGGCTTATCAGCAGGGATGCGAACACCGCACAATTCAGAAATGCAAAATTAGTCAGAGCCCGCAGATAAGGCAGGCATCTGGCCCTGTTAGTTAGTAGTGAAAGAAGTCAACAGATCTTGATCCAAGCACCTTTTCCTGAGTGTCCAGACCTCATTCTCTACCTGGAGGGGACTACCCTTGATCTCCCACTGCCTTTACATCACTAGTACCAATCAGTTTCCCATAAAGACATTTTCTTGAGATTTCATGCATCAGGAAGCCTTGTTTTAAGTTAGTGGAGAAGGACGAAAATGGACTTTTCCCAGTGGAGGGATATCTTCCTATAACAGAGTCCCTTTGATAGCTATTTTTGGATTTGTCACCTTAAATTCCTCTAAACTTTGCTTGAAACCATTTTACTTTCCTGGTTATATCACCTTTCAAACAAACAGTTTTGCTGAATGAAGTTGGATTCCCTGAATTTGTCCAAAATTTGCATTCAATTCCAGTTCTGCCACTTCCAAGCAAGTCACTTGGGCAAGTCACTTTACCTTGTTACCCCTTTTTAAAATGGGGATAGTCATTTTTATTCCAATGGTCTCACAGGATTTGGGGAATATCAAAAGAGAAAGGTATATCCAATAGTAAACATCAAGCTTCGGGTTATCCTGGGGGGTGTGGAAAACTGATGAATATCAGGCAAGATGGAAGTTAGTTCGGTTCCCCTGAACTCCTCTAAGAGATGAATTTAAGGTTATGATGGTGGGAACTGTTTGAGGGTTGCTTTAATTGTCACAAAGCCCTTTCATACTCATTAGCCTCTTGTATGTTCAATGGCCCTGACTGACAGGTAGACATGACAGTGTAAGAGAAACCCCCATACTCCTGTTGTATGCCTATATGCTAATCTACTGTGTACATATTTAGTTAAAAAAAACCAAACCCAAAGTGTTATACATATAACTTGATAAATTAGAAAATAACTCTCTCACCACTCTCCTCTTTCTCTACTATCTACGCCTTAATCTAGAGAATTTGAGGGTTTTGGCATAAGCATTGTAAGAATGACAAGCCCAGGCCAAGTGAGGCACCATTAAAAATTTAAAAAGATAAAGAAGAGAGAGAGCTGCCAATGAGCTCAAAAACACATTGTATTTTTTAGTGGAATAGCCATGTGGGTCTACACATGCCTTGTCACATGAACACTTTTTTTCTTGCCAAATGATCTATTTTAGATGAGGTCATTAATCTATTTAAGCAGAAGTGTGTCAATACGGCTTTGGGCAAATGGTGCTGGTCTACAATACTGATGTGAGTTGTCAGAGAAAAGGCACTAGGTACATGTAGGGCAAGTTATATTGTGCCCATGAGAGGACTCCTATAATCTTATAAAACTGTTTCCTTTGTGGATGTGTGATTAAGAAGGGGGCGGGGGAAGGGACATGCTTCACGTGTGGAGCTGATAACCAGTACCAGGAAGAAGGACGAGAGTTCAGTTAGTATTGTAAACATTATTTGTGAATTAGGTGTGTGCCTATGAGGACCCAGAGCTTTGAATCAGGAAAATGTTTGCATTTTCTTAAATAGACATTGAGGAGGTGAGTTAGCATTTGTCCTTGGACAAGGATAGCCTCAGGGAGGGTACCTGCCAGGTGTTAGAGAAACATGAGGAACCTCAGAGATGACAAAGTAGAGGAGGGCATATACAAATTGTGTAGGTCCACCTGTAAAGATTGCTTAAGGATGAGTGGGTTTGGAGCTCTGGAAAGAATTCTGCAGCTTTGACTGCAATTCTTAGGCCAAGAAACCTGGACTTTGTAAGCCCGTTTTTATGGTCTTTGATTTTTCGGTAACTGTTTTCACCTCCAAGAATCTGGGAGCGTATGGCCTGAAGATCTCTGTAATTCTTGTAATTAAAGAATTACAAGAATTTTTTTTTCTGGTTTCCCTCTTGGAAATGTCAGCCTGTCTATGTTAAAAACAATAAAAGCTAATATTTATGGAGTAGTTACGATATGCTGAACACCTTGCACATATTGACAAAACCCCATCAGGTAGGTACAACTATTATCCCTATTTTACACATGGGGAAATTGAAGCACAAGAGTTTACCTAACTTGAACAAGTTCCCATAGTAGCAGGTGAAAGAGCCAGGATTTAAACCCAAGTAGTTTAGCTTCAGAGCTTATGTTTTAATCACCAGGTTTGTTGTCTACTTCAAGAGAAAAAGTCTTAGGTTCCTGCCTGAGTATCAAAAGGAAATAGTGTTATTGAGCATTATTTCATATGTCTATTGGCCATCTGTATGTCCTCTTTGGAGAAGTGTCTATTCAGGTCCTTTGCCCATTTTTTAATTGGATGGTTTGTCTTCCTGGTGTTGAGGTATATAAGTACTATATATGTTTTGGAAATTAACTTCTTATCAGAAATATCATTAGCAAACACGTTCTCCCATATAGTGGGTTCCTTTTTCATTTTGATGATGGTTTCTTTTATTGTGCAGAAGCTTTTTAGTTTGATGTAGTCCAACCTGTTTATTTTTTTTTCCTTTGTTTCCCTAGCCCTAGGAGATATATCTGAAAAAATGTTGCTATGTGAGATGTCTGAGATTTTACTGCCTAAGTTTTCTTCTAGGGTTTTCATGGTTTTGCAATTTACATTTAAGTCTTTTATCAATTTTGAGTTTATTCTTGTGTATAGTGTAAGTTGGTGGTCTAGTTTTGTTTTGTTGTTTTTGTTTTTGCATGTACCTGTCCAATTTTCCCAATACCATTTATTGAAGAGATTGTTTTTACTCCATTGTATGTTCTTGTCTCCTTTGCCAAATATTAATTGACCATAAAGGCATGGGTTGATTTCTGGGCTCTCTGTGCTGTTCCATTGATCTATATGCCTGTTCTTGTGCCGGTACCAGATTGTTTTGATTACAATGGCTTTGTAGTATAGTTTGATATCCAGTATTGTGATCCCTCCAACTTTGTTGTTCTTTCTCAAGACAAAGAACGTACATGCATAGCCCATGGACACAGACAATAGTATGGTGAAGACCAGGGGAGGAAGGGACTGGGGTTAGGTGGGCTAGGCAAAGAGTGGAAAACAGGTGATATCTGTAATAGCGTCAACAATTTTAAAAACAAGGAAACAGTGTTCCCTAGGAACAAGATCTGTTTCTACCATACTAATGAGAATAAAGAAAAGGGGGATTATGTTTACCATTAGCCTAAGAGGTTATAATCATAACAGATTTAGAGTGAGACACCCTATGAGGATGGTAAAACTCAGAGGAATTGTGAGTTTTCTGCTTTATTTTAGTAAGGAAAGTGGTTTCCTTTTAAGCATGTATCATCATCTCTCCACTACTGATAACGGAACTAAAGCCCAGAGAGCAGAGGCAACTTCTTCAAGATCATACAGCTAAAAATTGGTCTCTGGACTCCAAACCCCGCCTCTCCTCTGCTTTGAGTCCCCACTTAGGGATTTCCCTTCTTAGAACCACTTACAATGTAACTTGTTTTCAATTTAGCACTTAATTTTATCAGACTTTATGTGCAGTTTATAAATCCCAAAGTAGTATAAAAATGTATTTAAGAATCTTCTCTGCTGTCCTATATAGAACTTAGGCTTTCATTTCTAATACATATGTTTTATACATATCTACATACCCAACTTGATGGTGAATTCCCAATGTTAAGGTCTATACCTCCTCTGCTTGCTTTCCTCCTGTCTCTCCTGGCTCTGCCCCAGCCAACTGCATAGTAAAAATTTTCTGATAGGTTTCTTATCCCTCTGTCCACAAAGGTCCTGAGCAGCAGAAGAAAAATGGGTCGTCTGTTGCTACCTCCCTGAGAGCCATGCTCTATGCCAGTTCAGAGAGGTAGCAACAGGCATTTGGTTTCACAACACTTCAAAATGACGTATATGGCAAAGGACCCCAGGGCAGAGAGAAGGGGGTTAGGTCTGGCAGTCACCTCAATGGGGCAAACAAGCAGAGAGCAAATGGACACACAGACAAGCACACAGGAAAACAGTGCCCAAGGCAGTGCAGAGGAGGATACCTGGGGCCAGATGCGCTTGGGTTTCTCTTTCGGCTTACCCTGTTAAGAGCCCATGGAAAGGATGGTGAGCAGGGTCCAAGAATAGGGAAGTGAGAGGGAAGGGACAGTGCGCCCCAAACCTCTGGCTGTCTTCTTTTCTAATGAGGACCATATCTTGAGGGCCAGATCCTAGTCCTTCCATGGTGGAACTCCACAGGTAGCCCACCCCAAGCCACAGCCTAGTAATCAAGATGACTGTATTTAGTCACCCAAGCCAGCCCATTTCTAACCCAAGTCTAAGCCTGAGGGTCCCTCGTGCCCATCAGGATACCCCACCCAGTCTCTCTCACAATATCTCATGCTAAGGTCCCAAGCTGAAAAGGGCTCCTTAACTACTTTCAAGTTCAAAGTCCCCCAGATCCCAGCCAGCCCTTCCAGGGGAGGCATTCCTAGCATGGCTCTTATATCCACAGCATTATAATGAAGAAGCAAAAAAGGACATCAGGAACTTCCTGGGCAAGAAGAGGGAGTCAATTTGAGCCAAGGGGAGGGTATAGCAGTAACAGACTCACCTGCACATCTGGACATGACCTCTTAATCGGTGGGGACTGGCTGAGAGAGTCACATGTGCCCAGCTCTGATCTCCTCAGGTGCTTGACCACAATGCAACATTTCACTGAGAAACCCCTGGAGGAAAAAAAAGCCTGAAGTGGTGGTATGGTTGGCTCAAAAGAGAATTTGTTAGAACCCATCCATGTCCATCTAGGGTAGGAGAGACAAAGGGAAAATGGCACTGGGAAAAGGCCCAGTTGACCCAGTGGAGTAGCCAACTGGCCAAAAACACTTACTTCTCCCGACACTTCTCCAGGGCCTCATCAGCCAGTTCCTTCAGGTTCACAAGCTTTTCCCCCCTGTAGAAGGCATCTTTGGGGAGCAATAGACATTCCAGGACTTAGGAGGGGACCACACTCCTTGCCCCTTATTCCTAGTGAGCACAATATTCACAGAATTCTTCCTGAGTGGACCTCTTAACTTTTCTGTCTGATTTGAGCAGACAGAGGGATGGCTGAGGTAGAACCAGGAGCTAAAGAGTCAGCAATCTCTACCCTTCATGCTGAGCAGTCCCAAACTCCAAATAGCGAATTCGAACAAAGAACTAGGGGAGAGGGGTTCTGGAGAAGGGGTGAGAAAATTAGTCACCTGCAGTGATGAGAAGGCTGCAACTGGAATCCAAGATCCGTTCACATAGAGACTCTGCAGAGAAGCCTGCAAACTAAGGAAGGAAAGAAAGACGGGGAGCCCTAGCTGGGTAGCTCAGTTGGTTAGAACATCAACCTGATGCATCAAGGTTGCAGGTCTGATTTCCAGTCAGGGCACATACAAGAAGCAACCAATGAAAGCATAAATAAGTTGAACACCAAATCAATGTCTGTCTGTCTGTCTCTCTGTCTGTCTCTCCTGTTGTCCCTCTCTCTCTCTCTCAAATCAATCAAGTTTTAAAAAGACAGAGGGAGTGGGGACCCAGGGGTTAAGTGAACAAGGAAAGGAGTCACTGAAAAAAACCTTTAGGGTCTCTAAGTTAGGGTCCTAGAAGAAACTGGATAACTGATATCCTATAACAAAAACATTTCAGCCCTGGTTGTTGTGGTTCAGGTGACTGGTACATCATTCCATAGACCGAAAGTTCTCAGGTTCAATTCCCAGTCAGGGGACAGGCCTAGGTTGTGGGTCTGGTTCCTGGTTGGGGGTTGTGCAAGAGGCAACCAATAGATGTTGCTCTCTCACACCAATGTTTCTCTTCCTCTCTCTCTCTCACTCCCTCCCTCCAAGCATGTCTTTGGGTAAGGATCAAAAATAAATAAATAAACACAAAAACAAAAATATTTTGAACTCCTTAGTCTGGTTCTTAAGATCCTCTCATCTAGGTCCAATCTACTTCTTCAGAGTCCCATCCCCCAACAGGCCCCTTTTTGAGCCCAAATTCCTACCACAATGGAATGCACAGCCCCAAGGCGAGCACATGCGAGCATTGCTACCAGAAGCTTCGGTATCATAGGCATGTAGATGGCCACTCGGTCGCCCTTCCGAATGCCTGCACATAAAAGATATAACCCATGGACCTTTCCTGATGTTATCCCCTCTCTCTCATCCAGCTGCCACCATCACCACCAACCACTACCCGAGCTGACCTCTTCTAGTCCCATTACCAGATTCCGTCCATCCATTGTCTACTTCCCCCAAGTCCTCAGATACCCCAAGGCCAGGTCCTCCAGTCCCCTTCCCCCACCTCTTCACTCACCCTGTTTTCGGAGAACATTGCTGAACTGACACACTTGGACCAGAAGTTCATGGTATGTGATCTGGGTGTTCTCCTCTGGCTCATTGCCCTCCCTGAAATACATCAGAAGAAAAAAAATAGTCATTAGGGAGTATGATTTCTTCCCCCTCAAAAAATAGAAACGGTCATAAAATCCATTCAGTAACACCAAGGCCTGGGAATGTCTTGTGAGGTCGACCCATCTATTACTACACCTTGAACTGACTGGTCAGATACTTTGGCCTTTCAAAGTATGCTTTATACACAAGCTGTCTATGTCATTGAAAAATGTGTTGTTAATCTCTGAGCCCATTTAGGTTCATAAAATGGGATGATGGTCCCTTATCTTCCATCCTAGGGATGTATTAAAGAGAAATTATATCACAGGTATAAAGTGGAGTCTCCAGACCACTTGCACCCAAGTCTCCTAGGGAATTTGTTAAAATGTATATTCCTGAGCCCCTACTTAGACCTACTGAATTAGAATCAGAGGGTCCAAGTGAGGCAGGAGATAATCAGGAAGGAGGAAACTCCAGAGGTGCCCCAGGGCTAAGATAAAGAACATGGATGAAGGCTGGAGACCCTATTTTAAGACTGGTAGTTTCTGCTTTCGGGAAAAGCATTGAATCCTAGTGAATCAGGAATGCACCTATGCAGAAGATGCTACCTGACCCCTGCTTCATTATAATAGCATTATAATAAGTTAGCATTGTGGGACCCCCTTCCCGGTAGGCAATCAAGGAAATTATGGGAGACCCACCCTAAAGGAATAAAAGCCCTCTAGCCGCTGAGTTCAGGGCTGCTGTTAGGCTGTTAGGCTCTGCTCTGCTCTTCTCTGCTCCGCTCTGCTCAGAGTTAGCCTGCTCCCACGTTCTGTGTGGCTTAATAAATCTGCTTTCTCTCACTTTCTGCTATAAACTCTGTGTGTTCAGTTCAATTTTTTGTCCACGATCACCAAGAACCTGGTTACCTGTGCCCACCTGTGACACAAGAATCTACTTCTTTATTACAAGCTGTTATAAAGAATCACCAGGTGATTCTGATATAAATTTAAAGTTTGAGAATGAACAGCCTCTATCAGCTGATTTCTGTCCTCAGCCTTGCCTCCCACTCCTCCCTAGGCTTCAGCCTGGTTTTCTTTGACCATTCCTACATCTGTTCACTTGCTTATTCAATGACTACTATGCACTATATACGCATACAGAAATAAGGCATTGATGGATAAGATAAGGAAGATTCCTGACAACATGACGATTATATTCCAATGATTGTGCAAGAAATACACAAGTAACAAATACAATCAAGACAATTTCAGATTATGATAAACATTACTTGAGGAGCAATACTTTTTAAAGAGACATCTTAAGGAATTTTCATGATTATATGTAAAGATTTAAATATAAAAATCTTCCCCCTCAGTGGTTTTAATTTTTCAATTTTATTTTTTGAATAAGTAATAAATATAAATGGTACTTCATAAAAAGATGTGTGATGAGAAGTTCCCTTCCCCACATCCCATTCATCCTGCCTACTGACAACCACTGCTACCCTATGTCGTATAACTTTCCAGAAATAGTCAATACGAAGATAAGGCCACTTCTTATAGGATGGAATAGATGGGGAAATTGAATTAGTGTGGAGTGACCAAGATAATCACTTCAGAAGAAGGCTACAATTTTATCATCTTTCATAAGGTCCTTGGGATATCAGTGAAGATGGAAATCTAAAAATTGAATTTAAAAAACTGAATTTTAATGATGTTCAAAAGAAAAATAAGCACCTCACAGTCTCCAACCAAGCACAGGGCAGGTAGATGTGGGAAAGAGCTGCTATAACTATAGGACAAGCATATCAGACAAGCATAAATACATGATTTTTACAAGAATAAACATACATGGGTTTATGTTTATATATTCTCACTGTTTTCTATACAATGGTGGCATACAGTACACACTATTTCGTATTTTATCTTTTATTGAGTACAATATACATCCAATAAACTGCACAAGTCTTAAGTGCAGAGCTCAATCATCCTGCTTTTAAAAAACTTAACAATATACATTGATATTATTCTCCATCAAGATTTACTGTGCAGTTTCATTTTCTTTGTCAGCCTCAAAATGTTCTACCATTTGTATGTACCATAATTTATTTAACAAATAAATGCTTCAATTAATATCTTTATTCATTTGTCATTGAATTCACTTTCAAATACATCTGTAGGATGAATTACTAGAAGTAAAATTATTGGGTCAAAGGATATGTGCATTTTAAATATTGATAAACAATAGAGGTCAATACTTTAAATAAGATAGGCAGAGAAGGCCTCTCTCTGGGGAGGTCATATTTGAGCTAAGACCTGAGTAATGAGAAGTAGAAAACTACATAAATTCTTAGGAAGAGTATCCTGGAAGAGAGAACATTGAAATTTGGAAAGGCACTGAGGTGATAAGAAGCTTAAACTATTCAAAGAGCAGAAAGGAAGGCAGCTCAGCTGAAGCATAGTGAGCAAGAAGGCAGGTAACAATATGAGGCAGAAAGCAGCCAGATCACATAGAGCCTTCTAGGCAATGGTAAGAAGTTTGAATTTTATTCTAAATGGGTTTCTCCTGGCCTCCCTTACACACAGAGACCCACCTACACACTTTTGATCATGCCATTGCCCCTGTTCAGAATGCACCAGGACCCCATGGCTCTCCCTAAATACTACACTACCCAGAGTACTTATGGAGAAGGTAACTGAAACCCAGAGAGATGTAATAGCTTGGCCAAGGTCACACAATAATTAAGTGGCAGAGCCAAGAATAGATCCTCAAGTCTTCTGATTTCAAGTCCAGGCTCTTTCCCATCATACTGTGAAGGACAGAGGCTAGCAGAGAAGCCAGGCCTTTGGATTATCAGCCTCTTCCCACCTCCTGGCTTGATGAGTCAGTTACTATCCTCTCCTTGGCTTAGCTCCCGTGGGGTGGAGAGGAGCCAAGCAGAGAGAGCTTTCTAAAGTGAGAAGGAACAGAGAGAGAGGAAGCTGGCAAATGGCCCTGAATGACAGAGGCAAAAAAGCCATTTCCTTAACTGACCCACTGACGGGTGCCATGGGAGCTTCAGAACATCTCCAGTTATGGCTAAAGGCAAGCATATACCACGTACCCATGCACACATTTCTACATGCATACCACATACCAGCTCACCTGTGTACACTGACACGCATAATATCACATATAATAATATAAAAATACTCCAAGTATAAAAGCTGCCCATGGCTCTGATTGGTGTGGCTCAATGGATTGAGCACCAGCCTGCAAATCTAAAGGTTGCTGGTTCTATTCCCTGTCAGGGTACATGCCTGGGTTGTGGGCCAGGTTCCCCATTAGGGGCATGCGAGAGGCAACTAACTAATGTTTCTCTTGCACATCGATGTTTCTCTCCCTCTCTTTCTCCCTCCCTTCCCCCTTCTCTGAAAATAAATAAATAAATAAATAAATGCTGCCGGTATATTGGGTTGGCCAAAAAGTCTGTTTAGTTTTTTTCTGTAAAATAAAAGACACATTTTTCATTTTCACAAATAATTTTATTGATTTGGATATTTTGAGTGTGTTGGCTATCTCCTGTGTGGTATAACATTGATTGTTGTCAGTATCTCAATTTAATCCATATCAACTTCAACTGGTTTACCTAACCATGAAGCATCGTCCAACAAGAAATCTCTAGCACAAAACTTTACAAAACACTTTTGATACATTCAGTCAGTCACGGCACCTTCTCCATACACTGTACAAATCTTTTTTTTGCACTTCAGTTGTGTTTTTACCTTTCTTGAAATAATAAAGCATAGCATGACAAAAATATTGCATACCTTTTTCCATCTTCAGTATTAAAATGGTTATACAAAAATTCACCAATTTTGATAAGTTTTTTAAATGCACACTGATATGACAGCTGGCACAATAAAATCTAACAAAACTCTTTCGAATGAAGTTAGACAATGAAGCGCTACTAGAGCCATCTTATGAAAAAAACAAATGAAATTTTTGGCTGACCCAATACATATATAGGCACAAATATGCATAAATATATGGACCCAGGACACAAACATGGGCCCCTCTGCAAGTACATGCACCATATTTATGTACCCACCTATGTGCACAGCTTGCCCCCCCAGAAACTCTCTATCAAATGTTTTTGTTTCATTTTCTTCATTATTTGAAATTATCTCATGTATTTTATCTACTTGTATATTATCTGTGTCTTTCACTGGAATATAAGCTCCATGATAATGGGGACCTTGTCTGTCTTGTTCATTGGTACATCCCTCACACCTAAAATAGAGCCTGGTACATAGAGTACACAAATAAGTACAGAGAAAAGCACAAACCTATGTAAGAACAGCTTATTTGAGCTAATTTCTAGTTACACAAACATACCACAGTGTACATTCCTCTCCCTGGCTCGGGGCTCAAGTTATACATTATTGATATAGGCACCTTATTCCTTTCAGTGTCTTCTTTCTCTGACATATATACTGGGCTGGGCCCCCTTGCTGTTTGGGAGGGGGAAGGGACAGAGTACTAGCCTACTGCAACTTCCCAAGCCCTCTAAGATGTTAGAATTTTTCAAAGAATACCTAATTTAATCTCCTAACTCTGAAGATATCCAGAGAGGCCATTTTTTGTGTTTGAGGTCACATGGTAGACTAAGGCAGAACAGGCACAAGGACTCAGGGGCTGGGCCTCTTTCCTCTACATTGGGAGTTGCACACTCGAAAATCAACAGAGTCCAGGAAGATAACATAAATGAGTGAAGTAGACCATATAAAAGAAAAATTTTGATAGCCGCAAGAAATAGTTCACTTTCTTTTCAACTTTTCTCTAAGAAAACAGCAGTGCACGTACAATGACAGTTAAATGTTTTGGGGGAGAAGGAAGAGAGGCAGGGACTACAAAACTGGAGAAGGAAGCACCTACTACTTAAACTTATCTCCTATCAACTTTTGCCCTCTGGGAACAAAGGCTCAATGTTGCCATTTGTTTTTTCCAGTTTTTAAGAGACAACTGGAATCTATTTCTGAAGTATTGAT